AGGACCAACGACCCGTAGGACCAACGACCCGTAGGACCAGCGACCCGTAGGACCAACGACCCGTAGGACCAACGACCCGTAGGACTAAAGAACTGTAATCGCGGTGGCGGCGGTGGTGGTGGTGGTGGTGGTGGTTGTGCTACTGCTGCTGCTGCTGTTGTTGTTGCTGCTGCTAGTGGTGGTGGTGGTGCTGCTTCTGCTGCTGTTGTTGCTGCTGCTACTACTACTGCTGCTGTTGTTACTGTTGGTGGTGGTAGTGCTGCTGTTCCCGAATTCTACAAAACCAGGAATTTCATTATCGCAGCAAAATTTTCCGCAAAGTATTAAAATATGAGTATGCGAGATTACACGCAAATACGCGAATCTATACTAGTAAAATTTATTTTGTATGTTTTTATGTCATTTTGCGCTATACCTTGTGAAATTTGCCTTCATAGGCATAGACGTATTGCTGTGTCGGTCTATTATACACCTTGTATTCTGTCGCTAATCTATTTAGGAGGTAGTATTAAATTGCTGCCAAGTTCAAAACAGCCCGCGGCTTTTATAGCACGAGTGATTACTTCATTTTGGATTTTCGCACAGAAATGAAAACTACGATGACTAGCCATTTCGTTTCAACAGCGTCTGTCGGTCAGCCGCCAGAATGAAATTATACATACGCGTGGTGGTTGTTGGTAAACGGAGGCGGAGTAGTAACAGCGAATGCAAAATGTCGAATGATGAAGTTAACAATCGCCCTGTCGTAAAAAGGAAATTGGTTAAATCAAATTATTCACTCAGCGGTCGTGATAGCTAGGCGAGATCGGAAAAAGAAACGCCGTCGAAAAGCTGACAAACTCACACACGACGTCTGTCAACTATATGCATAGAGTTAAAAGAAAGCCGGCATAGCATGGCAGACACCCCGCCTATGGAACCCCCCCCCCCCCGCCATACATTGCGCACGACCAATGAATGTTAAATCCCGTGTTATGTGCCCTGCCAAACACGTCCGTACCCATGTATAGAGGGGGATATTTGCCATGGCGGGGGCGTTGGGCATGCTACACCGATATATCGTATAGAGTTATCTACACACACGCCTCTTCGTTATAACTATAACTAGATTGCTACCAACTTATGGTAACATTGTCATTCAACTAACCCATCTCCTCTGGGAAATGACCGCAAACAATTCGACAAACCCAGTAGTTTTGGTCGATATCTATTTACTCTTGTTTTCGTCCCGATACCCAGCGAGCGTTGTTCGAATGGCGCGGCGTTCGTTATTTATTATTACCAGTTCTGATATTTAACGTATTGTATTTCGCAGAGCAGACGAGATTTCTCCTCAGTTTACGATTGATTGGCGAGGCAAGGACTGTTTGCTTCTATTCGCTCGTGCCTCGATCGGATGAACGCACAGTCGTGCTGCCGTAATGTGAGATCGCGCGAGTGATTTCCATCGTACATTACCCTAGGAAATCCTCAACTCAGTGGCGCATCTAGAGGTGGTGTTGGGGGGTTGCAACCTCCCCTTCAGCCACTGATTAATGTTATGATACTAGTAAACTGGGGCCAAAAATAAAAAAGTCCGTCTGCAGGCTGATAGAAACTGGGAATTTTCCCTGTGACCACTCAACTGCCTGAATTTTCCAGGTGGGAAGAGGGCATGCCCCCGGACCACCCTAGCACCGCGTGCCATCTGAACGCCTTCACTCAAATATCACCGCCCCCTCCCGTCTCCTGAAAGCTAGATCTGTCCCTGCAACTACATTAGATGCACAACTGGGAGGATGTGTGTTCTCTATGATCAGCCGAATCGGCATTAATACTTTATAGCACTTGCTCCAAATTCCTCATCGCTCAGCGTAAACGCAAACGGGCTGAACAAATAAACTTTTTTCATTAAATTCGAGAGAAGCGAGAGAGAGAGAGAGAGAGAGAGAGAGAGAGAGAAGGAAAGAAAGAAAGAAGATCTAAGATGGGGATGGCAAAATCAGAAAGCAGGTGCCTTTCATCTTTATCAGCTGCGACGTGTCACATCACAGTTTCCCGCCGAATGCATGCGCTATTTTCCGAGCAACTTTATATATACTTTATCGCCCCCATCTCTCGTGAAAAAATCGATGTAATGCGAACGTGGAAATCAATGCGACGACGTCACTTTTAAGGCTCAACGCGGAAATAGTGCACGCGCAATAGTAAACGCGCAAATAGTGCACAAAAACAGACTGCGATGCGAGAATTCCATATGGTTTCTCGCACGTGCGACTGTTTTCGTACACAGGATCCTGGTATTATTGCCCACCGGAGGCCATTGTGACGTCACTCGACCGCGGCCAACCGGGCGGTTTGGTCACGCGCGTGAATGTCTGTCTATTATACGTGTGGTAAAAAAACAATTCGTTTATTCTCCCCACACGGTTTACGAGGCGAATGTGTGCGTGTGGTTGACAATACCTTCTACATGTGATAACGTGTTAGGATAAAACTGGCATTGTTCATGAGCCCGTGTAACTCTATGCTCGCTGACGCTAAGTAGCTTCGAGCGAGTTTATATTAGAATTCATGTACACTTTTACTCATTCCTGCGGTCACGCTCACTTCCTGTTCACTTCCCGTTTTATTAACCCACACTAACGTTTATAGTAGAACGTCAATAGAATTAATCTTCTCTGTTTGGTTGTTTTACGTCTGATTCTATACAGTTTGTCACATTGTCATCCCCATGCATGTTACTTTTATCTTCTCTACACATTTCCCCATTCAACGTTCCATTCTCTACGATTCCTACTATATTTTTATTACAGCTCCGAACGTTCAGAAAATCGAAACTATGTATTCAATCATCACGCGTTTGACTTCAGAAGAACTTGACTGTTATTTCAGAAGAAATGCTCGTTGCGCTTTATTGAAAATGTATTGATTTTGCAATTCGATCTGTCTTCAGATGGAGCAGGTGATAGAGAGGATGCAACACGAGGTGTCTGGCGTACCTGTCCGCACGGTCAAGTCATTCATGACGAAGATACCGAGCGTATTCACAGGTAATAATAATAATAATAATAATAATAATAATAATAATAATAATAATAATAATAATAATAATGATAATGATGTTGATGATAATGATGATAATAATGATGATGATGATGATGTTGATTATGATGATGGTGATGATGATGCCTTAAAAATACTGTCGCTTGCACTCAACCCTTTACCTACACATCCATAATTATGACATTACTGTGTATAGTAAACAGCCCTATAGTAATGACTTATAGTCAACCCTGCAAATAACTGTGACTCAGCAGAAATTACAAAAGTGCCCTTCATGAAAGATGGCCGTGTCATAATAGTAGCCGCTAACACAAGTTTGACCGTAACCACAAGTCGTCATTCATATGGCTAGTTGAATGCTGTGTAACGGGGGAGAAAGAGTGAGAGAGAGCGAGAGGCAAAGGCTCCTGTTATAGTCAGTAGCGTTGGCGCATCCATAGACATAAAATTACGCGTACAGTGAGGCTATATATGTCACCCCTCTCTCTCTCTCTCTCTCTCTCTCTCTCTCTCTCTCTCTCTCTCTCGCGTGTGCACTGTTTTCTCTCCATGTTTTTTTTCTTTCTCTCTTTTTTTTTTTTTTTTTTTTTTT